CACTAATCTATAATGATGAAGTAGTGGCAGAAAAGTCATGCCTTGTAACATGATCAGGTTTGACAGCGGTGCTATAGTCCCTTTGCATTTGATGGCTGAAGATTACTTCGGTGAGTCTGTTTGAGAGGTTGTGCTATTAGAGTGGAATTTACCAGGTGTAGGAGCTGCGCCTTCAGGGAAGAATGTAACCAGTTTTGGAAAACAGTCGCCCTGTCGTGTGGTAATATATTAATTCTGTGAAAGCATGGTTCGAGGTAAAATTTATAAACAAGTAAGTAAAGTGAATCAATTTTACACGCTAAAACTTTATATAAACATGGGCTTTTAAGGAAAATAGATCATGTTAGGTCTGATATGTCTGGCCGGAGGCCTTTCTCTTTGATATGTGGTGTATGGCCATGGGCCGTTCTCTTTTGTATGATGTGGAGGATGAGAATTTCAATAGGTATATAATATTTCATATTATATTACAAATGACGAGATCAATTTCTTGCCTGTAGACACGGATTAGTAGCTGGGTTGGTCGAGGGGGGTATCCGGTATAATGCATGTCTGACTGCGATCTCAGTTAGACAACTCTGATTTCAGGAACTTGGATAGAGAGTTGAGCTTTGTCTTAATAAGAGACGTGATGTCTGATGTTGGCATTCTTGTAATCTGTGCGAATGTCTAGGGAGACATGAGCTGTATCCATCAGACTTATCCTTGGTTCAGAGCAGTATCTGTTGTCCTGCATTGTGGCTGAGTAGCTGTCTGTCTGTTTGGCTTTGATTTCCGTAGATATTTATGCCTGTTCCTGGGAATCTAGGGGTGTTAGTATACACACAAAGGGGTGGAACGAATGTTAGTTTATAATTTTAGTTTAGCAGCCAATACGGAGGCAAGTAACGATCGAGAAAACAAGATGTGTTCTAAACGCCGTCAAAAACCGAAAGATGATGCAAAAAGTGTGTCTAGTCAACAAACAGAAGGACTGTAACTGAGACCCTGGTTCTATGAATGCTGACGATCTACAATATACAGTTTTAAGTCAATTTTTATAAATAAGTTATTTTGACTATTGAATTCCCATGCGCATGGGTTATTTGTATTTTTTAATTTATTTGACAATATTTGAGAATTTAATCCTGGGAGACTTTATTATATCTATTTCATATAAATATTGAGCACTTATAGGATCTTATAAAGTTTTTATGCATTCACTTTGAAGGGAGGTAGATTTTTTTAAAGGGGAGAGTAATGTCAGGCTATATATTTCCAGTCCTATATATTACACCTTTAGTTTATATTATAGGACCTTTGGCTTATATACTGTTACCTTAACTTTGTTATCTCTCAGGATATATTGTTAACTACATGTGCTTGAGTTAATCCTTTGAACACTCTTTTACTATACCCAGTGGAGTATCATTGCCTCGGAACACAGCCCAAGAAATTCAGAAAAAACGGTGGTGGTGTTCTGATTGCCCATAGAACAGACATTGATATCTCGAGTCTAAAGTTCTCTAAAGTTAGTGTTCAAGCTGAATTATTATCCATCAGTGTGGAAGAAACTTTTGTATATCAACATTTTATAGAGTAGGAACGCTTGGCTTAGATAATTTTGAATCTTTCAAGAAACATTTTGTTACTTTAGCATCTGCCAGAAAATTGCAAAGGCACATTCTGGTAGGTGACTTTAATTTGGCTTCGATTTCCTGGCCAGATGGTCAGTCATCTTGCCAGCTACATTCTAGCTTTATAAATTTTCTCACTGATGACCTCGGACATACACAACTTATTAGCTCCCCTACTCACAAGTCAGGCAACACCTTAGATCTTGTGTTCACTAACATTCAAAACCTTATTAAGAATGTTAAAGTTTTAGATCAAAACGAAATGTGTATGTCCGACCACTTTTGTATCACATTTGACATTGATATTAAGACCAAGTATATTAAGCAGCCTAAAAGAAAGATCTTTAATTATAGTAAAGGTAATTTTAGGGGCCTGAATTCTGAGTTATTTAGCATCGATTGGGATAGTATATTTGAGTGTAATGATCCTTATCTTGCCTGGAGTCGATTCAGAGGAGTTCTCGGTGCAGCCTGTGACCGATGGATCCCTAAAAAGACCATTAAGTCTTAGTTCCAGCCCCCATGGTATGACTCCGAATGTGATCGTCTCCTACGAAATAAGGAGAAATGGAGAATAAGGCATAAGGGGAGCAACTCTGAGTCTCATAAACAAAAGTTTCGTGCATTTCGCACAAAATTTAAAAATTTGATGGACGAAAGAATGAGACTCAGTGTTGAGGATGACTCCGATGATGCTCTTATCTCCAAGAAATTCTGGACCTACGTTAAATCTAAATCAAAGTCAACAGATTATATGATTGGTCAGTGAGAAATCGAATGAAGTTCCACCCACAAAAGTGCAAAGCCCTCTCTGTGTCCCTGCAAAGAAACGTGCTGGATAACTTGCCATTCAATACCTTCTTTTATAAACTTTCTGGAAGTGATATTGACTTTGTGCCCTCTCAGTCAGATTTAGGAGTCGCAATAAACTCCAGGTTTAATCGGGGTGCACAATGTAAAGCGCTTGTTTCCAAAGCTACCTCTAGACTTGGACTACTTAAGAGAACATGTCATTTCACTACTGATAAAAGGCAGAAAAGATCGTTCTATTTAGCGTTAATTAGGTCTATATTTGAACATTGTTCTGTCATATGGTCCCCTCAATCTGCAACTCATCTTCAACAGTTTGTTGCTATCCAAAAGAGGGCTATTAAATGGATCAATGGTGAACCTTACTCCAGTTATAATGACGATAAACTTGCTACAGAGCAAAAGAAACTAAATATTCTCCCTGTTAAACAGAAGTTTATTTATAACGATCTTATGACCTTCTATAAAATAGTGAATAGCATAATTCCAGTTTCGCTCCCTACATATATAGTCCTATGCCGTCCAGAGGGCACCCGATACACTAGGCACAATGCTCAAATAATTGATATGTCGGATACCTCAACTTACATGAGTACCACTGTGCCCTGCTCGGATGCCTTCCGAAATAGCTTTTTTCATAGATCTATGCTGAAATGGAATAGTCTACCAGTATGTATCCGGCAGTCAGAGCGGATTTCTACTTTTAAGGCCAAACTGATCAAGTACCTCTGGGCTGCCGAAACAGTCTGGCCAGATTAGCTCATCAGTCTTCTGTCCGTCCAATTTCCTATCTGCTTGTCCTTTTCTTTTTTTCTTTATCAGTTGTGACGGAATTGTAATGAACAAAATCCTTATAATTATTTATGATATGTTTGATTTCTTGTTAATGTTTGTCATTCAAATTTGGTAGACGGCCCCAACGTTAATGTGGCTCTTGCTATGTGTTGGTTCAGCCGAATTAATTATTATATAATCAAGTTTATTTTTCTCGTTAGTTGTCATCCGGCCAAACATTAAGCAACTTATATTGCAGTACCATTTATCATTTAGTATATCAAAATATGTCATTGTAATTTTGCATGGCTGAAATGTAACGCTTGATTTATATATATAATGATTAATTGAATTTTCAAATAAAAAAAAAAAGAGTGAGACAGAATACAAATGAAAGAACAGAGCAATAGAATTATAACAAGAAACTTAGCCTGTAGAGTAAAACGGCTGAGAATTCCAGCACTCATATCAGAGAGTGTCCCCATTTCTGTTGGTGCTGACTTCCCAGAGAAGCAGCAGTGTCGTACTTTATCAGAGTTGCTTGTACCAGAGCGGTTGATATCAGTCTTCGTTAAGTTGAGGGGCTTCTGATGATTTCTTGCTTCTATCCTGCTTCTGTTAGTTTATAATTTTAGTTTAGCCTGGAAGCTAAGAGGGGATTAGTAAACACGCAATAGTATGGTACACTGCTGCCAGCTGACTCACCAGCAACAATGCATGTCCAAAGGGGAGGCAGAGGGAGAGATACCACCGACAACCTGGGTGACAGACCACCGACAGTGCACCCACCTCTGTAGGTCTGAGGGCGACAGGTCAAGAACCAGGTGAGACTAGTAATCAAACAGAAAAGGGACCGAACTGCTGAGGTGATTGAGTGAGTGAGATGCTGCATTGCTACTGGCTGACTCACCAGCAACAATGCAAGTCCAAGAAGAAAAAAGGAGAGACACTGTCTGTTATCTGGGTGAGCCACCACCGACAGTGCTCCCACTTCTGTGGGGCTGAGGGTGTTGGCTCCAAGAACCAGCCGTGAGCGAACAGCGCCTGTCCCCCTCTATGGTTAACTTGAGAGTAACAGGACTATGCCATTCTCCAGGCCAATCCGTTCAGTAACCAGCTGACCCAGCACCACCTCTAATGGAAGATGTGGTTCGGATTGGACTTCGCTAGGATTTGTCAGTTTTTCTGTAGACACTAATGCTCTCTCGAGGAAAGACATGAGCCCCGGCGAAACTGACCAAAAACGTGGCAGGGATTCTCACCCTACCTGTTGCATGTAATCAAGTGACAGATTGACAGTGCTGGGTGTCCGGTGTACATGAACCACTGACAAGGTGTCCAATCAGTACACAAATTGCTCATTGCATAAATCTTTTTAGTTTCAAACAAATGAGGTCCGTGATTCAAGGTCAATATTTAACATGATCTTATATTTACTTTAGGTACTTTAGTAACTCTTATATACTGCAACTGATTGCACAAAAATCGAGCTAGATATCAGACTATTTGTAAAAAACGTCATGTGGCTATCACACCCTTCTTGAATGAACTAAAGGCCTGAAAATTGTCTTAGACTTCTAAAGTAATACCATGCAGCCACTGTGAATGATAAATTACGTTCTCAAACATTCTTGAGTTATTACATTTGGTAGCTTTTTTGACACCCTGTGCATTGTATGTACAACAGGGCTTCTTGAGCAAGATGTGATTTATAATATCATTATTATATGTACGTTTAGTAAGATAGTTTTTGTATATATTTGTGATTTTCACCTAATTTTATGCAAGAAACCTTTGTACAGGAATGTAATGTCAAAACAAAGTTGAGCTCAGTTTTCAGTAAAAAAATGTGAGAATAATCTTAAGTCAATGGGTTGTGCATCATCAAATACATCCAATGACAAAGAGGCGCTAAAGAAGTTAAATGATCTTGCTGAAATCAACTCTGCTGAAACACGTTAGTACCTTTTAAGAATTAAAACAATCTGCATCATTATCTAAAAACTGACGCCATTAAGTATAATCCTTTTTAATCATTATATAATCAACTACGTTATTTAATTCCTCATTTTACCTAAAATTCATTTTCAACTCATGAGTAACGTGCCTTTTTGTCAGTTTAAAATTAACCCATTAGGGACGATAGGGTCGTTTACGACCCACCTTTTCTAGAGGCTATAGAGGACAAACCATAATACTAAACGCAACGAATCTTTCGCACATATGCTCAAAATTTATTGGGCTACATTATTGACTTTCCAGTCGAGACCCAATTAATTACTAACAACTAAATAATTAGGCTAATTAGTCGTCATAATTGGAAAATATTTCACTTTACTTCTTGCCTTGATTGGGACATTAAAACTTTATGTAGGCTTATTTTGTTGAGGACAAAATAGTTGCGGGCAACGATTTCCTTGAGACATATGAAAAGCCCGTGATAATCAGATGTTCACAAACAGAGCTAGACGCTGTTTACTAACTGCGGTCGCATACGACCCACTCGTCCGGGTCGCAAACGACCCATCACGGTTTTTCGGCTTTAACTTCTAAAACAAAGAAGTTAGGATAAAATAAAATAAAAAGCATAAGTTAAAAACATATGGTCAATACTGTGTGACTCTAACTTTTTAAAAATAAAGAATTTGGGTCATTAACGACCCACTCGGCTCACTTGCTTATTACTACATATGTCCATGTAACTTCTTGAATTCAGCCTAAAGCATGACATCATAAGTTCAAAATCGCCTCTCAGCAAGTGATAATCATCATAAACTGCGAAAAATCGGTTAAATGGGTCATTAGCGACCCACTAGGACCACAAAATTGATTAATTAAATATAATGTTGTCAAACTTTTACAAATATTAGTATAAAAACATGTTATATCTTGGTCATTACTCCTGTACGTTGATTTAAGTTTTAAAATCGATCAACTGGGTCAATAACGACCCACTCGGAAGTTGAACCACCTCATCAATTATTATCAGTATCATGCTGTTCCACCATCAAGAAAGACACTCGTAGGTCTTAATTCCACGCAAACCACGGGTGGCTGACTACTAGCCCTTCTGAGATCCAGGGCCAACTGAAGGGCCGTCATCACTCATCAAAGAGCTGCGAGAATAACACTACTGCATATGCCTGGAGTTGCGTCCTGACTATAATACTATGGTAGTATGGTGCGTGGAAATCTGTACCGAAAGGACCGTGGCCGTGCCGCAAAAGAAAAGGAATCGGCCCTCGTTCCTAACTTGCTAGGTAATAGCCATGCTGTTGTTGTTGCTTATTAGATTCTGTTACCTTTTTCGTCAATTTCGAATCTTGGTAAACGACCTGCTACAACCCACCGCTTGAGACCCAGGGTCCCACGGTGATCAGATCATGTCACTCAAGAAAAATCCCCTGAACGAAGTATACGAGATATCATGTAACCTTGGGTAAATACTGAAAGACGAGTGGTCAAATTGCATATTCTAATCCAACATGCCAATATGTTTTTTTCATCCCTAGAAAGTACGAGAATAACTAAACAACTGCTGCATTCAAATGGCTACATCTACAGCTCTGTGAAGAAGGACAAGGAAAAAGCCCCCCCCCCCCCCCCCCCCCCCCCCCCATTTGGCTGGCGGTGCTGCAACCTGCAATCTCTCAGACAACTATCTCGTTTTGGGTAACAAACCCCGCAACAACGAGGCAACTTTCAAAACGAAAACAAGTATTACGTAATCGGCCGAGAGGGAGGGGAGTTTCCAAATGATTAAGCTTGTGTAATTTTGACATAATAGCTATGTGGTGGGGGTGGGGGGCGTAAAAATTGTCCAATAAGTGATTACGTAATATATGAACGGCCCCTAAGAAGTAAAGAAAGGGAGCTGCGAAGAGAGTAGATGCAGCCATCTGAAATCTGAATCCAGCAGTTGTATAGTTCTTCTTGGACGTTCTAGGAATCGGGAAAAGATAGGCATGTTGTTTGCTGTCTCACGACATTACGGTCGTGTACTAACAGCTGATAAACTCACCTACCCATCAATCCAATTCTACCCATTATTCGTCAGTCATTGGGTGACGTGATCTGCAGATTACCGTGAGACTCCAAATCTCAGAAGGGCTAGTAGTCAGCCACCCGTGGTTTGCGTGGAATTAAGACCTACGAGTGTCTTTCTTGATGGTAGAACAACATGATACTGATAATTAATGTCGTGGTTCAACTTCCGAGTGGGTCGTTATTGACCCAGTTGATCGATTTTAAAACTTAAATCAACGTACAGGAGTAATGACCAAGATATAACATGTTTTTATACTAATATTTGTAAAAGTTTGACAACATTATATTTAATTAATCAATTTTGTGGTCCTAGTGGGTCGCTAATGACCCATTTAACCGATTTTCGCAGTTTATGATGATTATCACTTGCTGAGAGGCGATTTTGAACTTATGATGTCATGCTTTAGGCTGAATTCAAGAAGTTACATGGACATATGTAGTAATAAGCAAGTGAGCCGAGTGGGTCGTTAATGACCCAAATTCTTTATTTTTAAAAAGTTAGAGTCACACAGTATTGACCATATGTTTTTAACTTATGCTTTTTATTTTATTTTATCCTAACTTCTTTGTTTTAGAAGTTAAAGCCGAAAAACCGTGATGGGTCGTTTGCGACCCGGACGAATGGGTCGTATGCGACCATAGCTGTATCTTTTAAAGTAAACGAGATACAGATTAGCTTTTTTGGATATCTCATTTTTGCTGTAAAGTGACCTAGTGTGTTAAACGGCATCAAAATCGGCAAACTTTAAAACTCGTCGTCCCTAATGGGTTAAGATGACACAATAACACAAATACCGTCGATTTTCTGCAGAAATTTTATTTGGTTGTTCAATATGTCCTCTGCAAAAGATTATTTGTTTCAGAATCAGGACAAAATCCTCTCATTCCACAAAATTCAATCACATCATCGTCAAAAATTGGTGGTGTAAGTCGTAAGTATTCTCATCTGCTATACAGCTTACTACGCTTGTTGCACTTTAAGGGTTATTACAAGATCAGCACTTCTTATCATTTATATTATCATCTATTAATCTTATCATCATGCCATAATCTGTTAATATCGCTACTCGCTATATTCACGGTTACTTAGTCCTGTTGCATTTGAATTTCGTCTTTGGTACACTTTATTTCATGCTAACATTACTATAATTCTGGTAGCTTTTAACTCTTGCAATTTACATGCCTGTCTTATATATATCCTCTCGAGGTGGGTTTCTCGCAAAAGTATGAAGCAGCTGATTGTAGTTCTTCTCTCTTAAACTGTTCAATTTGCTAACAAGAATCGTTTGTAGCATTATTTTGAAACGTTATTATCACGGCATAGGAGACAAATGCTCATGCAGAAAATGCTGGGAAATTATCCCTATTTTTTTATGCCACAAAAAATGCTCGTCTTTGCTTCATAGATCATAGCACTACTTTGCCATACCAAATATTGTGCCTCATTCTAAATGCTATTTCAATTCTTAACCTATTGGCGTTATGACGTAAGTATTATATATATTAGAAACTTAAAATAATCAAACTTATACAGATTTTTGCTCAGAATTGAGAGCAACATTGATGATACAGAGATGGTTCAGAAGGTGGAGAGCCGAACTAGAAGTCAGGAGGCGATGCACCTGGACAATATTTCAAACCATGGAATATGCTAGTGAGAACGAACAGCTCAAGTTGTATAACTTCTTTAATGATATTATTTCTGGCCTTCCTGATGGTAAGAGACAGATGAGTTTCTTTCGCTGATTTAAAACTTTTCTTGGTTTTTATCCTTGAATTTTTAATTGCTTTACAACATTTTTTTCCTCTTTTCTATGTACACGTTTTTAACAATGACATTTCAGCATTCAATGCCATGCAAAACGAAAAGAACGACCAAGCAGAAACCTCGGAATACTTCTCAAAATTATCCAACCCGGACTATGTAACAATTGATCCGGATTACAAGGGGCCTGATCTGGTGTTTCCAATAGATGAGAATCAAATCAAGATTTTTATAGAGGCATTTAAAGAAAGGCAGGTACGAGTCTCGTTGAAAGAACTACTGCCTTTATTACAAATAGTATGTACAATGTACAATGTACATACATTGTACATTGAGATTTAATTTTTACCTGCATTTAAAAATGCAGGTTGCGATGATATAAGTTGTATGTTTATGTTGCTCATAATATGATGCAAGCAAGATAGAAATTACGAGATCACCTTCTAGTTTAAAACCGTAAAAGGAAACGCTACTAAGATATAATTGAAAATTATTATAAAAATCAATCAATTATGCCAATAAAGCAATAATCTTTTTTAACTATTATGTAACATCGTAATTAATCCCCTTTCTGCAGGTATTGGACGCTAAACATTTGTTGATTTTGTTGGCTGAAGCCAGAAAGCATTTCATGAAAATTGAGAACGTGCAATATACCGTGACATCAATCGCTGGCAAAGTTACTGTAGTAGGTAAAATATCGCATTTCAACAACTTTCCTGATTGAAAATTAACGAATCATTGCTTTTATAAATCACATAATGACACACCAATTAATAATTACAGTCCCGCAATGGAGTTATACAATATCATTGGAGTATTATTATATTGATAAACATAACTTTACATAACTTTAACAAGAATATTATGTATTTTATGATTTTATAATACAGAAATTTCTACCAACATACTCTCTCGAACAGATCAATAATTCTAGATAAATGTTTCAGGAGATCTTCACGGTTCGCTTGACGACTTGTTAATGATCTTCTTTAAGGTCAGTAAATGTTATATGAAAATACATGCAATAATTGTACAGTAATAGTATATTATGCGCATTCAAAATATAAAAATAATCTAACTATGGTAATTGGTAAATGTGTGGCGCTTTTAAAGAAATTTCTCAGGTTTCTCAAATAAATTTGAGATCTGGTTCTAGTCAATCCTTTTTATTACTCGTGAAACTATGTTCAATATTTCTTTCTACTCCTTTAAAGAACTTTCTTACCCCAATATATGCTACTAAAAAGATAACAAAGAAGACAAAAATACTCCTTTTGAACGGCATTTGTCCCAAAACCATCGAATTTCTGATAATCTGGCTGTTTGTGACTACACCACAAATAGTCATTAGAGTAAAACCATGTTGCCAGAATTTACTGGGTGCGGCGTAAGTGGGAAAAGGCCTCTTGCTCATTTTCACAAGTCTGAAAGCATCTGTGTGGATTTCTATTAAGTTGTTGGCGAGAGCAAACGTAGCTGCCAATGGGTACACTGGTGAGAAAAGTAGAATGTAGCCATATTGGATTAGCATCTCGAGGTAGTCCAAGTATGTTGAGTCATAATCTCTAGACTGGCTCTCCTTCTCAATATGGCTCTCATACTTCCTTCGCTCCTTCACAAACACAAACATCTTTAGGAATTTGGGGAATCTGAGTTTGCCCAGAAACAGTTTCTTGACGATGAATAGTATGACGGCGATACCGCAAGCTGCCAATAATTTCTCAACACTAACTACAAAGCCTTCAGAAAGGAATGAAACAAGAACTAACGACACTAAAACCTGAAGTAGCCTCACTCTCATGTCGGAACCTAAAACTTCTCCAACATTTGATTTTATCTGTTGAACAACCATCAGGTTCATCAGACGAATCTCTAGTAGCTCCAAATCTTTCAACACAAAACCAATGTACAGAAGGGTGTGAAAAGCGTTAAAGAGCCGGAAACTGATCAGTTTCGCCATGAGAGCGTTCCCGTGAGTGTTAGTAAACTTGTAGTTCTCCCATGTTGTGAGACGCTCAGCGATGCCCGTGTAAACCATGTCGAACGCTATGATGGTGACCGAGAGAAGTATTTCTGGAATGTAAATCAAGATTTTCGTTATGAAGTCCGGAATGTTTGGGTACTCATTGTTCGTTATGAGGGTTTCCTTTGTAGCGTAATCCAATTTTAGCAAGCTGTACGATGTTGAAATCAACAATATGAACATTGTCAGTGTGACGAGAAGTGAAACAACTTGTTTCCCTCTTTGAGGCATCCAGCCATGAGGGCCGAAATCCGATCGTTTCACATATTTTGAATTCTTTTCTCGACTCCAAGGAAGCACATTATCATTTATGGAACCCCAGCCCAACAAAAAGAAGGCTGCCCAGAAGAAGTTCACGACCACGCCCAGAACTGATACCCATGAGATTTGTTCCTCTGGGTTATAGTATTGGTGGGCTTTTTGAGTTAGTCCTATTAGACAGGGGAAGATGAGGGATGTGGAGTAAAACCCCATCCAGCTAAAATATGTGGCTATGTCTGTGCCAAAGTATTCGTTAACCGCATATATCGGCTGTTTCCCCCAGAAGTTGCTGACCCAAGATTTCATCAAAGCCTGCGTGTCTGTTTTATTGTGCAAGGGAAATATTTCAGAGACAATTTTCTTTTTTCTCAGTTGAGCAACGAAACTTACATCTGATTTATATCCTTCAAAATCACCTTGTAACTCCAATATCATCTCGTATAAATCTCGGATATCTTTACCACTTGACACTACACAGCTTTGATCCGTTTCCATAGGATTCCTTTCTAAGTAGACTTGTAAAAATCGAATAGTTGGATCGTTTTGAGATGGAGATTTCAATACATTCAATCCATTTTCTCTGAAAAGACCCTCCAATTGTTCCTCAACTAAAGATTCATCCCCAGTTTTTATCGAGAGCTTGATAATGATAGAGTTGGTCATGTGATCCTCAGGGTTGCTCGCCATGTCTCCTGGGTAATATTGCTCCATCCTAGTGAAATTGAAATTAGTTTTACAAAAGTTAAATTGGAGTTTTCTTACAACATGACGTTGTAGTGCAAATGAAGTTCAGATATGTTACTATAAAAGAAATAAATATATGATACGCAAAATAATTGTGGTGTCTTTCATATGCTGGAAATGCCTACATGTTGAGGTGTAAACTGTCGACATGCATTTTTATGATATCTTTGACCGCATCCAGCGACTATTCGATTCATTGCGTAGTATATCTAAGGTGAAAAGGGTGGCCAATTTCACATTCCCGTCTAAGTTTAATTGCACAACTAAAGGATTATCTAGGATTAACCTTTCAGGCAATGTCGTAAGTAAATAACTCAGGTCCTATTATGGGTGGCTTACAAGTAAAATTATCACCATCACGACCCTTATAAAGCACTCTAGTCTCTAACATGATGGGCGATTTGTCTGAAAGTAGATCTTTATCAGTTTATCGGATCGAATGTGCTAAAATCCTGAACTAGCAGATATTAATCTTACTTAGGCGGATTTAAATAGTTATTATACGAGTCGTGTGCCGTGCTTGTGAACTGTGAGTGTGTGTTGAAGTAGCTCCTGTGTGTGGTATGTTGGATGTTATGATGCTTATGGAGACAGGGTTGTGTTTTCTTTTCGAACTAGTTCGTAAGAATGGTGGGAGAATTTATATACCAGTAAAAATACCTCGAGAATGAGTCTGGGGATTACTACAGCACCTAAACTCGGCATCTAACAATATTTATTCCAACTTTCTTTCTGCGTTCTTGCAAAGATCTCTGTATTATCATTCAGCACAATAATTTTCGACAAGCCTGCTGGTTTCATGTCTTACGATTAATACCTATAAAAACATCAATCCTCTCCCTTATTCAGCTCTGTGCTCTTCTGTGGTTTTATGGTTCATGAAATGGCCGACAATTTCATGGACAACATCTTGATTAAGACCGGGGTCTGGTTGATGGAAGCTACAATAAACTGCATAAATCGTCATAATATTATTATGATCATAAATATTAAATACTGTATTTATTATGTATTCAAATAGCAAGCCAAACAATACCCTATAATAATGGCTGGTGGTAATGAATCAGAGCATTCATTATACCGTATCTTCAGCAGCTCTTGTTTTGAGACGCGCCTGTCCAATCTCACCAATCTCACACAATCGTTCACCCTTCTCTCCACCTCTTCCTTCTAATTTACATTGTGTGAGGCTTCAGATCAAAGTAAACAAATGATAAACTTGGTGATTAATATGATGATAATTAATGGCACGACAATTTAAACAAATGATATTGATAAACTTAGCTAGGTATAGCAATTAATCTGATAATAATTAATGGCAGTGTAATTTATCACTGTTTATCCATCTCATTTGTTTCCGTAAGTCAAGAAAATCAGGACTTATATGGCCCAATTACGGCCCAAAAACTGTTTAGAATAGTTTAAATAGCGGTGGATATTAGTTTATAATATTACTAAACATGAGGCACCGGTCTGGCTTGTTAACGACTTGTTAATCACTTGTTAACGACTTGTTAATCACTTCATATTGACTGGTTGATAGGTAAAGTAACGCCTAACTGGAACCTAGTTCACTAAGAGTACAAACATGAGTAGAAGAAGCATGTGATCACATGGGCTGATCACGTGAGGTCACGTGAGGTCACGTGAGGTCACGTGAGGTCAAGTTTATACTTTATTAGCTGTCGGGGTAGTTTATTTTAGATGTGCGTCAGGAAGTTCTGCAAAAATGCATCATTTCACGAGAGAATATTCATGGTAGCTGACTGTGTTACTCTCCCTGTACTGGGTTATTTAGCAGCTGTTCCATATCCTCGTATCTATCTACATTCTCAACATTGTTTAAGATATTACTCGTGTAATTGGTTACTAGGGCACATGATAATGTTTAGCCAGTGAGCTCAAAGATAGTAAGATAGTCCACAACTCATTATTTTGAACCGTGTATTATATAATCATAATGGTATAATGTATAATGGTTCAATACTGATCATTACACGCATTTACACTCCTCATAGAGCTACTTCTAACTCAGTGATGGAGAAAGATTCCTTAAATTTCTGTCCAGTTGGAATCTGCGAATTATTGATATTTGTGACCTAAAATTTGTTGACCAACCTCTGTAAATTATTTGATTTACAATCGGTTGCCACAAAATATGTAAGTGTGTGAATACATAATTTAGTCATGAATATTGAAGAGAACTGATCAAATAAATGGTCAGCCCGTCTGCCTGCCCAATGATCGGTCACAAATAAAATAGATGAAATGTTCATAATTATTTATAATATGGTCGTTCATCATCCTAATTAAGGCAAATCAATCGATAAACGACACTTTAATTACGGTCAGATGCTTAATTTGTTCACAAATTAAGTTGCTATTGGTGGGCTTCTATTTTCTAACCGGCTCATAGCCAGCTTCTAACAGACTTTCAGCCGGCTGTGACCAGTTGTCTCATAGCCAGCTTCTAACAGACTTTTAGCCGGCTGTGACCAGTTGGCGAGACTCTCAAAACCGAAATACAAAGTTTCTATATCACAACAAACCTGGCCCTGTTAAGGAACAACAACGCAGACTAACTCCGCAATATTGTATACACAAATGTAACAAAACAACAAGAGTGAACAAATGGGTGCTGAGATAAATGCAAACAAACTCTACATCATTGAATTGTATGTACACACGCACATGTAACACGGTATCTAACATTACAACGCAACCACACGGTATTAAATATCTAAATATGACCAGTCTAACAATAATCGAGCTAATTATTACCTCATAATTAACATGGAATAAGCCTAGCACGTGTATCTCAGGTATCATGAAAGTTGGTAGGCAATAAAGTAGTAACCGCTAGAAACATGTTAGTAAACATGTTAGTAAACATGTTAGTTAGTCAGGTTTGTAGAGCTGGTAAAATCAAACGAACACCACAACCGTACAGCACCAAGTAACTACACCAGTACAAACGAACAGCTGCTTTATACTTTTATACAACACAACAAGCAGCACCAAGTAACTACACCAGTACAAACGAACAGCTGCTTTATACAACACAACAAACAGCACCAAGTAACTACACCAGTACAAACGAACAGCTGCACTATACAACACAACAAACAGCACCAAGTAACTACACCAGTGCAAACGAACAGCTGCACTATACAACACAACAAGCAGCACCAAGTAACTACACCAGTACAAACGAACAGCTGCACTATACAACACAACAAACAGCACCAAGTAACTACACCAGTACAAACGAACAGCTGCACTATACAGTATACACCACAACCGTACATAGCAGCGTTAAACCCTCATCAACAACAAAGAATAAACTGTGTGGGGTCACGTGATGTGATGATTATACCTTCGTAGTTCGTAATGCTGGACTGCAAACTCGCCAACTTGCAGTATTCGTCATGTCTAAATATTTTCGTCGGAATATTTGAGAAGAATGAGAAGACATTAAGATGATATTAAGAAGATAATGAGGACACTACAAAGATATCAAGCAGCTAAAAATAACAAAAGGAGGATAAAATGAAGCGTGTTTTACATATTGCTGCGTGATGAGCTCACAGTTACACACAAAAGATGACTAACTAATAATATCATACATTATGCAAACTGAAACTGGCAGTATATTAATTTATGTACGTAAATTAAGATTGTTACAAAATTATAAAGTCAATATCAAGCAGGCTGTCTGCATGACGTTGCATGTGAATTTTGTAGAGAAATTTTCTGAGCATGAAAAAATCTTAGAATTAGAGGTTTATGAGTCAATATAAGGCAGTATTAGTCAATGTATGAGTGAATATTCAATATGAGTCAGTATGAGCATAAATTAGAAGCGCTACCCCATAGAACAGGGCGTTGTGTAATTGTTGTCGCTATAGAACAGTACGTTATGTAATTGTTGTCGCTACTTTTTGTTTTAGCAAAGAGCATGGTTAAGTTTCAATGCCTCTATTTTATTCAGAATTATGAAAATTATTTCGATGCTTCTTTGTTATAATTTCATGTTCCTGTTCATGATTTACACGAGGAAACAATGAGATGTTGGACAACACAGCAGAGCTATTTTTCTTTAAGAACATTACATCACTGTTGATATTTAATACTGTAATAGTCTGTACACAGTACTCTAAGCAAAATGCGTTATTATTTACCTAGTTTTACTACCCTCTAATGTACAGTACAGTAGCATACAATGCTTTTAGAGTTACCCTTTTCATCTCATTAGTCCTCCAAAATGCCCATTAAATACCTCCACTGTTTACACTTTACCACTGTGTGTTGAAAATCACAAAAACAAACCTTGTTACGCAACGGCTGCAATTTAATTTCCCCCAGACGAACTCTGCATATTGCATTAAAAGCCATGTTATCAAGGCTTGCAGCTGTATTATATTGTATAATAGTGTGTAATGTGTATTTAATTTAAAGCTTATATTCAAAAGTGCTTTTGAGGAATGTTAGAAATCGGTCTAGTCTAATTCCAAAAGATGAACTGACTATCTATATCCCTCATAATTTATCAATTATTTTAAGTCTGATAATGATTTCTGTCTGGTCCTCACAAGCCCACAAGAAATATACGATATAGTTCAAGAGAACAAGACAGTAGCTGAATAGTGAATGTCAAGCATTAGAGAAGAAGTAGAGACACAAAAACAGAAAGATGTTTTAAGGAGCCTATACGCCACCATCAATTAACACCTGGCGAAGAAAAGAAACCTGTGTGATGCACTGTGCACTGTGCACTGTGCACTGTGATACTGTGCACTGTGCACTGTGGTAGACATACTGACGATACACAGGGGACATTTCACCCCCTCACATTATAAACAAAGCTTTTTAAAGGCTAATGAATAGCTTGTATATATATTAGGGTCATGGTTGGTTACAGAGGAAATAGAGTAGAGAATAGAGTGATGAGTTGTAGAAAAAGTTAAAGGCAGTGTTGGTGAGTGAAAGATCGTGCTCTACCAATTGTGGTGGATCAAATGTAATACACCCAACCCCAGGTGGCACAAATGCCAGCCTAAATAGTCAGTAAGTGGTCAGGTTACACCCGTGAAGTAACAGGTAAACCTGTCCTCCTCGCAGTAAGTGTGTACTAATGGCTGGTAATCTAGACACCATCTGTTACTTAACGTGTTACTGGTAGGGTAATGAGAATCTAGCGGAGCAACACTTACATTAACGTCTTACCAAATACATATTATATTATGTATTATGTAATAATAATAAATTAAAGTTTAATAACACCACTATTAAGATACTCACCAGTGTTTAATCAAAACATCCCAGAAATGTACTTGAATAAAAGGTAAGGACTGGAAACTACTACATTATAATATACTATAATATACTACAATATAGTACACTATACTACACTATAGTACACTATGTGCTACTACACACCTTAACTAACGTATTGTCTACCTACCCGGTAACACTAACGTCTAGCTTGATACACAGGCTACTGGATAACCTGAGGGATTAGTTTACTGATGTACTGAGGGTATGATGTTCTTATATTGTTAGTGGTGCAAAGTTATATTATCCTCTAACAAAGCAACAAATGTCATATCCCTTACTCCTGACTATAACTACTACAGCTGTTGCAATGGTTATCATCTTTAAAACTCCCTTACTCCTGACTATAACTACTACAGCTGTTGCTATGGTTATCATCTTTAAAACTCCCTTACTCCTGACTATAACTACTACAGCTGTTGCAATGGTTATCATCTTTAAAACTCCCTTACTC